TAATATAATATTTTACTCATTTAATAAAATATTCACAATAATGATGATTGATTCTATTATTGAGAATTGCTTCAATCTCTTATTTAAATTCATTATCATCTTTTATAATGATGAATGATTATCAGTTGAAGATCTTTTGTGAAGAAAACAAATCTTCAGCTATGAATTGAAGCAGATTTATATGAAAAATATTATGAATGTCAAATGGAATGTTGAATTGATAATTAAGAATATTTAACGCTTTTATTATTATATATTTGATATGATAATAATTTAACATATACAAGAGATGATCTGTTTTTATATTTTTGAAATTCAATTAAATTTTATTTTTTATACAATATTGAATTGCAGAACTTTTTTTGATGTTCATTTAATTTTTATAATTTTATTAAATATTGATTATTGAAGCTTCTATTCATTCATAAGTTTTCTTGAATTTGTTTCTGATATTTTTTACGGTTTGTATGAGACTGCAGATATATACAGTTTCTCAAAAAATCTCAGAAAAATTTAAAAATCTCTAGATTATATTTATATAAAAGAAAAAATAAGCTTGTATCAGTTTTAGCAGAATTTCAGCTGTGTATAATTATTTTAATATATGACAGCAAGCTGCTTCAATTATCTTATATGTAATTACAGAACTTTCAAAAATTATTCTTAATTGTTTATATCATTTACTTAACAATTTCTTCAATCTTTAAATACTCCATTGTTGACAGCTTTTACTTCATCTTTAATAATTGATAAATATAAGTTTAAAATGTGTTGATAAAGTGATGGTTTATATCTGATATAATGAATAAAAGTAAATCATATATATAATAAAATGAGCTTTTGATAAAAACATCTGCAACAATCTCAGCATTCATCTTATCACAGAACTGTAATATCACACTTTTGTTGAAACAATTAACAATGATTAGAATCTTTGTCAAATCTTTACTCTGAGATAAAAACACTACAAAATCAATAATTATATCTCATTATATTTATTCAGAAATAAGTAGTGACTTTAGCATTTTTTTTTCAATGCTCATATCATGCTGTCATTGAGCTGTAATAATTGTAATTGTGTATGAATTGATATATGTCATTCAATATGTTTTAGTCAGTAGAAGTTTTGAATGATGATGCTGTATATGATCTCACACTTTAAATGCTCAATTATTAATAAGTCATGAATTTCTTGCATAATTTGTGTTTATAAAGATTCTGAATTAAAGACTCATCATTTATTTTAAAAATATAAATAATTGTCATCATCAATTAAATATACTAAGATGTCTATTCTTGAGTATATATCTGCGAAGAATTATAACGTTTTGTTTCTTACAGCTTCAGCAATTTATTATCAGATCTTGTTTACTTTTACTACTTTTCCTCATTATTCTTCAAGCAAAAGATCTTCAGCTCAGAATTGATTAATATATTTATAGAGTTTATTTGATTGTATAAAACTTTTTATGATTGCAAAGTTGATTAATTAATGCTTTCAATGCTTTCATCTATCATCTAAATCATCAGATAACATATTTTGTTCTTGATAAAATAAAGCATTCACAAAGACATTCTCCACTTCTGATTAGGAACAAATCATAATGAGAAATGGTTAAGAAACAACAATCAATATATATATTTCTTAATAAGTTTATAAATGATTGTGATGTATTTTTGATTTTTATAATCAGTGATGATTTTAAACTTCTCAATGCTCATAAACTTCAACTCTCATTTCTCTAGACGTTGTATAATAATGAAAATTTTTTTATCATAAATTTTATAATTACATTTGATGAAAGACATCTTTTTAAAGATAAATATATAGAGTTATAAAATATTTTCATTATTATATTACATCAATGCTTCTTCAATCATGTAGCTGAAGAAGTTTGTTTCAAAAATTATATATTTATTTGAATTAAATGATCGCAATAGTAAAATACTTGTGAATATATTTTTTAGCTTCTTAAAAACTGTGTTTATTTCATCAGTTTATTGAAATACAGCATTCTGTTAAATCAAATCTGCTAATGATTTATGATATCTGAAAAGTTCTTGATAAATCTTCAGTAGAAGTTGTTGAATTCTAAAAAGCTTTTAATTTTTTTTACTAAAATTGATATCTTTTAATTAAGAATTGCTTTCTTTTTTTTCAAATTCATGTGCATATCTTTTTCAGCTTTAATGATGAAATTCAAATAAATTATAAATTTAATTTTAAAATTGCATTTATCAATATTCATTTACAATTTAGCTTCATACAAATGATTGAGTATTTATCATACATGTTTACAATGCTTTATGGGTGATTTGTTGATAAAGATTAAGATATCATTCATGTACATTGATTTGATTGCATTAAATAAATTTTATAAAACTCAGTTAATATACTTTTGAAATGTGATTAAGATGTTCATCAATATGAAAAAAGTCACTGTTCATTTATATAATTTATAATATATACAGAAAATAGTTAATCATTTGTCAACTTTATTATTTTTATTTTATAGATGACTACAGAGATGTCAAGTTTTGTAAATCACTTCATTTTTTTTATTCATTTAAATATTTCATTAATGGGTGAAAGAGGATATTGATCTTTTCAGATAATTTTATTAAATTCTCAATGATCAATATAGAATTGTAAGTTTTTTTTTTTTTAATTTCTTTATAAATAATACAGATGCTGTAGTAAATAAATTGTTAATGTAAATGAAGATTTTATTCAATAATTCATTAAATGTTTTTTACAAAATAAAAAACTTGTTGTGTGATATATTGTAGAGAAAACTTCAAAGCAGTTGTGAATTCTTACTGTATTTTTTAATGAATTTGCTTGTATAATTTATACTGTGTTCTTATTGAGAAGGAAGCTTTTCAACTGCTTTTTTATTAAATATATCTGTGTAATTCTCATATAATTCAGAGAGTTCTTTATAGAGCTTTTTAAAATTCTTAAATTTTAACTTATTTAATGTTTTTATAATATTCATCACATTGATGATGAACATTTTAATGTATTTCTTTTTATATAATTAATATGTTAATAGTTTGAATGCTTCTGCTAATATTTAAATGAGATCAGTGATTTTATTGACATTTTTTTTATAGATGTGATTGTCTTCTGAGAAAGTAAAATAACAATTATGAGTGTTCAACAAAGTTTTCAATTTTGTGAATCATAATAAACTGAATATTAAATTGTATTTGAGGTTTTGTATCTTATATATATACACATTTTCTTATATTCTTCTATGTTGATATTAAATCTTATCATATTGTCGAAGATGAATCCTTTAAGATCATAAAATTTATTGAATTTATATAATTTAAAGAAAGAAATACACTGAAGCTTATTGTAATGCACTCGTTTATTATTTCCTTATTATTATATTATCTTTGTTTATATCTTCGTCTATTCTTACCTCTTTCCATTATACTCTCGCTACCACTATTTCTGTATGTATATATATATGGATGCATGTATTTCGCACATCTTCTTTCTCTTTCTTGTCCTCTTCAGCGATTAGCTACAACTACAACTACAACTTCAACTTCAACTATACTACTACTATAATTATTATTATCTTCCACTACACTATATACTATCTTCTACTATTCACTCTTCACACTGTCATCACCCCTCACAGTTTCGCACATCTTCTTTCTCTTTCTTTTCCTCTTCAGCGATTAGCTACAACTACAACTACAACTTCAACTTCAACTATACTACTACTATAATTATTATTATCTTCCACTACACTATATACTATCTTCTACTATTCACTCTTCACACTGTCATCACCCCTCACACTTATGCTTCTCTATCAGCTAAGTGTTTATAAAAGTATAATGAAGAAAACTGCTGTCTATCATTGCTTGTATATTGATTAGATTATTTACAATAACAGAGATTATAATTATATTTATTTGCATCTTTTATTCAAATCTTCAACTAGCTTCTTTGTTCTTGAATTTTTATTCATATTTTAAAATGAGAGCTCTTGTTTTCTCTGCTCTTATTTATTCATAGATGGCGCGATGTTTACATATATGAAAGACTTGTTTGAAATGACTGGGTTTAAACATTGATTTGGAAAGTGGTCTGATTTGTTGCAGTGTATGCAGACTTCTTTAACAATTCAATTAATGATATTTTTATCTAAAATGTTGAGAATTCTTGAATGTTCTCCATTCACATGAAGAACTCACTTCATTAATTCTAATTCAGAGGTGAAAAATACTGTAGAATAATTTAAAGTTTATAAATTCATTTATTGAAATACTCTGTGATTGTGAAACATATGAAATTGAGACAGATTGTTGTTCAGTAAATGAAGATCAATACAGTATTCACTATAAATTATAAGTTTTAAACATTCTATACTTTGATTATGCAGTTGATCATTTAAATCATTGAATAATATATTGATTTTGATAACATCATTTCAGTTCTGCTCATCTGCTTCTAGATATTTGTAATTATTATTATTATTATTATTTATTATACTCCGCCTTCATCCAATGGATATGCGGTTCTGCTACCATATGTCTAGCTAGGAAAACCCCACTGCGCCTTGGCGCAGGGGGGTGAAAAACCTTGCGCACAGTGGTGTTAACTATCCTGTTCATCTGCAGGGTACCGGGCAAGTCAGCTAGAGCTGTTCCTTGCAATGTGAGCGGGAACAAAGGAAAAGGAATTAGAGAACGCATAGTAACAAAAGAAAGGAAGAAGGGAGGGACAGATAGCAGGCGCTGTTAGGATAGAAGGGAGTGACAGGAGGGGGTAGAGGGGATTGACAGAAGGGGTAGATAGAGGAGATTATACGGCAAGGTGAGGAGATGATGAGGGGATGAAAATGAGGTGGTGCAAATGAGGTGGAGAGACGCGAGGGGATGGGGAGGAGAGGGAGGAGAGGGAGGGGCTAAGTAGTCATGGGAGTGAGTGCATGTGGGATTCTGAGGATTCTGGGGGTCCAAGGCAGCTCAGGGCCTTATGGTACATAGTGTGTCAGCTCGCGTGCTAATGTGAACTGGCCTAGAATCCCGCTCTCCATCCACCAGTTTGACAGGAGATGCAGGCCTTCCTTGGTGTCTAGCAGCATCCTCTTGTCTAGCCTGCCATTTCTTATAAGGCCCTGACGCTGCTGCTCCCAGCGTTCGCAGTGTATCAGAACATGTTCGACTGTTTCCCATTCATACCCACAGGGGCACTGTGGGGTGGGGAATTCAGGTACCTTACACCGGTTTAGGAAAGCTGCCAGTCCGGTTTTCCCTGACCTCAATTGGATGATGATAGTGCTGCGAGCCTTGCGCAGGCCGGTGTGCCACTTCAGAATTTTCTTGTCTGGGGGCCGGCCATGCCGCTCCCCCCAGGGGGGCTCACGTCTTTTCCACCTCTGCACCCACCTCCAGAGCTGCTCGCGCTTCAGCCAGTGATTATATGAGGCTTGGTCCAGGTTGGCTCGTTGTTCCGGTGTCATCTCTGCTGTGGCTCTCTCCTTAGCACCCTGAATCCATTGCTGTTCCCAGTCCACTGGCAGGGCTACCGGGTGAACCACAGCTCCCATGTGTCTCTGTGCCCCCCTTGTCACCCCCCGGTGCCGAAGCCTGGTCCTTATGGCCGCACACGCATTCTCAATTTGTTGCGCCATTCCTGAGGCCTTCATCCTGTTGACCGCCTTTGCCACTAGCCCATCCAGGTGGATGTCTAAGGGTACTGTGTGGGTTTCCGCTTCCAGTGTGCTTGTTGGGGTTCTTTTGTATGCCCCTGCCACTATTCTGAGGCAGGAGTTCTGCACTGTGGTCAGCTTGAGGGCCAGTCCTGGCTTAGCTGGACCCGTGCCCCCCTGCCCCTGTGGCTGGTGCCATGCTATTGCTCCATAGGTCAGGGCCGGCCTGATGACCATGTTATACACCATTCTCGCTTGTCGTAGTGGGAGCCCCCATGTGGATTGGGTGGTTTGGGACAGTGCTCTGACTTGAGTCTTCATCTTGCCTGCCACCGCGTCTAGGTGGCCCTTCCATCTCAGCCTAGAGTCTAACCATACACCCAATACCCTCATCACCTGTTTCGGTTGTATAGTTTGTCCTGGTAGTCTCAGCTCAGCCTGTAGGTTGAATTGGTTGCGCGCCCGTGTGAAGTGCATTAGCTCATACTTCTGGGGGGCAAAGACCGCCCCGTGCCGTGCTGCCCACTCCTCGCATGCCCGATGCATGCGCAGGAGCTCCCTGCAGTTGTCCTCAGTGGACTGGCCATAGGCCATCACGTTGACATCGTCTACAAAGGCCATGCACACCACCGGGCGCCCCGGTCTTGAGCAGATGCGCACCAGTTCCTCATTGTAGAATAGGAATAGTATAGGTGATAGGGGTGACCCCTGCGGGATGCCTGCTGGGATGTCAAAGGTGTCTGATTCCTGGCCCTCAAAGGCAATTGTGGATTTCCTGTTGGTCATGAAGGACGCAACCCATCCCACCAGGTCCCTGGGGATGCCCAGTCGCCGGAGGATGTGAACCATTCGCTCCCGCAGCACCTTGTCATAGGCCCCTGTCATGTCTAGGGAGAGTACCGATGCCACCTGTCCTGGGTGCTGCCACACTGTCCTTATCTGGGCTAGAAGTTGTGCTATGGCTGTTTCGTGGACCTGCCCCTTCTTGCCCCCATTTGCTGTGAGGGTAGCAGGTTGTGGTCCTCCGCGATCTTCCGCAGGCGTTTTGCAGTTGCTGCCTCCACAATCTTCCCTATTGTGTCCAGCAAGGCAATGGGTCTCCACGCTCCTGCAGTCTGGTAGTCAGCCTTCCCTGGCTTGCGCAAGGCCACTGTCTTGGCTTCCTTAAACGTGTCTGGGTAAGTCTCCCAATGCCAGCATGCATTGGTGAGAGCTGTTATGGCCTCCACAAATGTTTTGCCCAGCATCTTAAGGAACTCGTTGGTGATCCCACTCCTCCCTGGTGCCTTCCTGTTTGGCAGTCTCTGGATCAGGCTTTCCATGTCCTCCACACTGATGGTGTCATTTGACGCTTCCCTTTCAGCTTGCAGCAGCTCCATATTGGTGTCACTTAAGTCGGCGGGCTCTGGCTGTGGGAAGAACCGTTGTCGTAATGCCTCAGCCTTCCCCTCAAAAGAGGTTTCTACCGTCGCGTCAGCCCCTTCCCCTGTTCTCAGGGGGGGGCAGTAGGTGCCTGTGGGGGCAGATGGCTTCTTTCCTTGCCCCATTTTGCTAGTCCCCACATCAATCTGGGGTCATCACGGGTCCTGTCAACCAGATCTCTGAAGTTTGCTGTCTTAGCCAAGTGGATTTCTCTGTTGCGCTTGCAGCGTGCCCTGAGCCGCTCCATTTCTGGGAGCTGGGACCTCCTAGCCTGCTTGTACTCCTCCACTGCCTTGGCCACCCTCGGTGACCACCATGTCTTGGATTTTAACCCAGCCTTACTTACGGTGGCGTGTTTGTCCGCTAATGTCCCTACAAATCCTACCAGGTAGTCTGCATACTCCTTGACTGCTTGCCTGGAGTCCAGGCTTTGTGGCACATATAGCTTTTGGCAGTCCCTTGCTACCTCCTCAGGCTCCGCATCCTTCCAGTTTCGTCTCTCAGCCTCCTTTGGGATGGGTGTGATTTCCAGTGTTGTTTCCATGGGCTTATGGTCAGATCCTTTGCATGCCTCCTCCGCTATTGCACACCTCCTGAGCTTGTCGTGCAGGAGTGGTGATAGAAAGGTGAGGTCTATAGTCGTCCCTGGGCTGCCTCTGTCCTGCCATGTGGTAGCCCCTACAGGTGTGGCAAGCTGGAGACCCAGCCTATCCACCTGTGCTATTAGCTGCCATGCCATGCGGAAGTTTTTTTCTACTCTCACCCCTCCCCACCTCTCATGGTGGACATTAAGATCTCCTAATATGACCAGCTCTGCATCTGTGCCCATTCCGGCTACCTCCTGCAGCTGGCCTATGGGGGATTCCTCCGGTTCACTGCTGTAGCCCCCTGGAGGAGGTGCATACACATTGACTATTTGCACCTTACCCAGGTCGGTGGTGATTGTCAGCACTGCAATGTATTCTGAGTGGTAGTGGCACTCCCATGTGTGTTCCACGAGCCTTTTGTTGACCAGAAAGCATACTCTTGGGTGTGTTTCCGGGTGATATGCTGGCCAGAAGCCGCAGCTTCTGGGGCAGTGTGTTGCTAGCATGTGGGGATTCCGGCTGGGCTCTTGTACTGCAATTACGTCGTATTTGTCTTTTGTTGCAGGGTCTGCCAATAACGCACCCATAACTCTCGCAGAGTTGTGCACGTTATATTGTAGGAGGTTTAGTGTGTCCCTCATTGTTGCGTGGGGGCTGGGGTCTGCGTGTAGTCCATTAGGTCCTCCTGTAGCTGAGACCCAGGTTGTGAGCTCTGTGGTGCTATAAAGGCACTTAGAGCTCCTCTCTGGGCTTCGCCTGCTTGCAGAATCCCCTTGGGTCGGCCTGGTCCTCTTCTTTGGCCCTCTGGTTCCCCAGTGGGTAACCTTTTATTTCCTCTGGTTTGCACCACCTGCCACCCATCTTGTGCTTTTGGCTCCATAAACCTACGGGGTCTTTCCATGTATGCTGTACGGGCCCTGCTTGATGCCCTCTCCCTCTCAGGGCACTTAGAGACCCAGGCTGGGTGTGTTCCCCTACAATTTGCGCACCTCGGTTGTTCCCCAGCTTTTCGTGCTGGGCATTCCTTGTCGTCATGTTCTTTTGCCGCGCAGAACCCGCACCTTTTGGCCTGCCTGCAGAATCTGGCCGTATGCCCATACTCATGGCAGTTAAAGCACCGGGTGACCTGCGCTTCCCGGTGGAAGATTTCAACGTCACAAAATATGCTGTCTATTATCAATCCATTGTCTGTCTACTAGTAGGTTGGCTTGCTGAGGCGAGGTGACGCTGAGTACAAGAGACCCAACCTTTGCCTGCAAGCTGGCATTCCGTCGTAGAGACAGTCTCTCAATTTGTACCCCTCTTCGGAGTCCTTCATTCTGTGCTTAAATTGCCTTGATGGCTTGCTGTTCCTCCTTCCAGTTGGTGTTGCCCATTGGGACTCCCTTAACCATGACTGGGTACAGGGTGTGCTTTGCCTTCGCCTTTTGTCCCAAGACTTCCAGCCATGTGCTGCTCTTAGTCAAGGCCTCCCTGGTCTCCCTCGCGTCGGTTGTCAGGATGATGTCTCCACTGGGGAGACATCTTGCTGCAAGCACCTTTCCCTTTGTCACATCCATAATTCTGGTGTTGACGGCTGCCACAATCGCTGGGGGGGTGGCCTCCTCAGCTGGGAGGGCTTCGCAGTCCCGGCGTAGGACAGTAATCTCGCGGAGGTTCAGTTAGGCACTGGTTTTTCTGGAATTCCCTGTCCTGCGACCTTGGCCCATGATGACAGTTTGGCTTCTTTCACTCCTTCGGGTTGGCGTTGTGCGCGTGTCGCCACGGTCGCGTCTTCCACCTTGGCCAGCATCACCTCCCCCAGTTTGACCTTCAACTCCCTCACCAACCTGGCTGCCTCCTCCACTACCTCCTTCCCTTTGCCGTTGATGGCAGGATCTTCGCTCCCATTGCAAAGAACATTGCTCAACTGTGTCAATATTGCTCCACATGTGGTGGGCTGCTGCCTCTTGTCAGAGTTTTCTTCTCGCGGGCGTCCGTCAGCGCGTCCCACGATTTCCTCCATCACAACCATGGCAGCAGCACCACCTCAACTGGGGATTGCTGGGTGTCGTGAGATTCCCTGCGATCAGGGCTATCGTTCGCTATCGTTTTCAGTGTATTTATATAAAAGTAAAGACCTTTTTCCTTTTAAAATTTCAATATTTCCAAATCCCGTCAAACTTTGATTAAGTAAAATTATTTTGTGTGTATAGAAATCATTTTATGTGTTTTTTGATTAACATTGTAAATCTCCCTCTAGTTTGTTTAAAAGTGCTCATTCAATTAGTTTTTCAGATCTAATTGATTGAGTTCTTTCTGAATTCCACCAAGAGTGATGAGCATTGAAATCCCCTATGATTATTGAATTCTTTTTTAGTTTCAACTGCATTAAACATCTATCAAATGTTCAAGTTCTATTCTTGTCTCTCAGTGATCTTTCATTATAGATATTGATTAATTGAATGTTTTCAAACTGTTTTTTTCATATCCACAATATTATTAACAAGAATATCAGATTCTGATATTAAATCATATCTCAGATTGAATTGAAATCTTGAATTTATTCTAGCATAAATTGCTACTCTAACTTTAATATCTGTTTTCTCTCATAGAAAACAATAGTATGCTGAATGAGATATATTATACTCTTGATCAGCATCAAGTCTGAGTTCTTGAACAAGAATAAAGTTTGCTTTTTGCTCATAGTCAATTTATAAACGGAAATAAAGACATGAATTTATTCGGTCCATATTATTTTGATTAAATTTGATTGTTATACAGCTTTTAACATTTTTTTTATATTTTTTCTACATTATATAAAACTGTTAAATGGTTTTTTATCTTTATTCAGAGTCAAATAATAGATTAAATCTATTATTCACACCATCAATAGCTATCACATCTTCCATATATGTATCTTTCATTTGTGTTTGAACAGGGGTTTTTGATGACTTTTGTACTTTCATTTTTTCTTTGTCAGAAGATTCAGATACAACAGAATTAGAGATTTGAGAATTTCTTCTTTTTTAACTGCTACTATTTTTCATATTAGTAGAGACAGCAATATCAGATTGTATTATTGATTTTACTGATCATTTTAATTTAGAAGCAGATACACATTCTTTTGAATTTGCAAAATGAGGCTCTTTGCAATTGACACCTTTTGCAATAGACTTAAAGTGCTCACATATAACTTCTTTTTTTACACAAAATTGACAATTGTGTTCAGCAGTTTTGTAAGATTAAGCACAAATTTGACATTTTACATTTTTTGTACAGAGATTTGCAAAATGATCATATTTTTGACAATTTGAACATTGAATGTGAGTTTTTAAATTTTCTCTGATATCTTTAAACTCATATGTGCTCATTCTCATACTAGCAAGTGTCACAAATAAAATTTTGAATTCTTCAAATAAATCAGTTATAATTAAAACTGAAGAATTTTTTCTGTTTTCTCTTTATTTCTCATTATTCAACTAAATTAGTAATGTTTTCAATTTGAATGAATTAAAATCTTTAATCTCATATTGAAGCTGAATCAGCCCATTATCATGATTGAAAATTGCTGTTGATATGTTATAAAAAATAAATTTTCCCTATTTCTCATTTCTTTTCACTGAAATTTCAATTTTCAAAATAGATTTTATCACTGGTGCGTATATATATTGATTTTGCACCAGAAAGTTGGAGTTCAACTCAGGCATGGTTGTCAGAATTATAGAATTACTCAGAAAAGAGCTTTTAATTGATGCTACAACTGATTTGTATATTTCAATTCCAAATATAGAGTTCATAGCATGATTAATCTCATTTCTCATTTGCAAAATGAAACTTGTATTTGATGGCATTTTTTGTTCAAAAATTTTTTTTTAAAGATTTTAACAATCAGTCTTTGGGCTTTTGATTGAAGAAGGCTTTCTTCTTTCAACTCTTTTCTTTATTTTTCTAAATTTTTATGCACTCACAGTATCAGTAGCTTTTGCAGTCTAATTTAAAGCTCTTTTCTCAATAAATGTGGTTTTTTTTGAAGAGGAATAGGAAGAAAGTTTAGAGGAAACTGCTGCAATCTAAGTATAAGTTTTTGTTTCTATTTTCTGCTCAGATTTTTGAAAAGGATTTATCATCATTGTTTCAAAGACTTTCTCAAATTTTGAAGAAATTCTCAGTTTGTATTTGAAAATCTCATTCAACTGTCTTGCTTGAATACAAAGTATCTGAAATACTTCAGTATCATTTTCCTCCATGCATTGATTTTTCAAAAATTTAACAGCCTTTTCAAGATTCTCAATCTCTTGCATCTGATTTTAATATTTCTTTTTTCTTTTCTTTAGAAACTCAATTTCAGAAATCTCTTCAGAAAACACATCTCTCTTCATCATATTGACAAATACAGATGCTTTGATTGTGTTTCAGTCTATTGTTTCTACTAATAATAGTAACTAGATCAAGTTTTTCAAAAGGACTTAACATACTGAAACTGATTTTTAAAGATAGATCAGTTAAATCTTCATAAATTGAATGCTACAAATATAAGAAAGGATATATGTATGTATGTATAGGTTTAACGTCCCGGAGAAAACACGGGCAGCGCCCGTGTTTCAGAAGCCTCCCGAAGGGCATGGAGACGTGCTACGCTGGAGAGATTTCTATGTACACAGAGAGAGAGAGAAAACAGAATCCAGGTGGCAACTCTTGAGAAGACTCAGCCCATTGCAAAGGACAGTTGAGAAGGTGCTTACTATGGCAGCCAGAGGGGTCCTCCCAGTTTTCCGTACAACGCCCATCGCTACCCTATACCGGGATGCTGGGCTCCCATCAGCAATGGTAGCTCTGGAGGAGGCCAAAATTCGATTCGCGACAAGGCTTCAGGTGGTGGATGAGAAGCACCCACTGGCTTCACGGATAGCACCTCCAATGATCACACGAGGAAGAGGGGCTGGAACCCGGCAGCGCTCAAAGTCCAAGGTCCAGCGGTTGGGGGCGCTGCTACCTGCAGTCAATAGACCCACACTTGCCATCCCACACTACTCAGAGGGATGCGGGACAGACCCCACAGAGGGTGTAGACAAAAAGAGTGCTGCTCAGGCATTCAAGAAATGGTGGAGAAGTCAACCCTCAACAGATCTATATGTTTTCTCAGATGGATCAGAACGGAGCCTTGACAACAGCAGGCAGGTGGGCTATGGCTTCATAGTCTATCAGGGAAATAAACAGCTGGCCAGCTTCTCAGCTGCGCTGAGCCCTATGTCACATGTCTTCGACGCTGAGGCAGTTGGTGCCTGCCGGGCATTGGAGTGCGCCGTGAAGCTCCTACCTTGTGTCACAGAGGACAGCAGCAACCCTCAGATCTGGCTCTGCCTCGACAACACCTCAGTCATCTGGGGCATACGGGGCAGTGCAGCAGCCTCCTCAAACTGGGCCTACAACCGCTGCCATGAGCTCCTCAGACAGCACAATGTCGGCCTGAAATGGGCTCCTGGGCATATGGGGATAGAGGGCAATGAGGAAGCAGACCGCTTGGCTAAGCGGGCAGTCTCATCCACTGCAGCCCCAGCCTATGGTCTCGAGGCCACACCCACAGTCAGTGGGGTCCGCACAGTGGCCAAGCAGCTCAGCCAAGAGGCAAGGCAAAAGTGGTGGAGTGGAGCCTGTGGCAAGCTCTCTGACTGGTACCGGGGCTGGAGTTTCAGCAGGCCGACTGTGGAATACCAAGTGAAGGCCCCTCCGGAGCTCACCATGCCACGGCATGCCCTTCACCGCTGGCTCGCACTCCGCTCCTCTCATGGGGACTTCTCCTGGTACCACAGGCGTTTCCAGCATGCAGATGCGAGGCTCACCTGTGTCTGTGGACACAACAAGAGCCCAGAACATTTGGTGCTCTGTCGACACTCACAGAGGCACTTTCTTCACTGGCCCAAGAGGCCAGCAGCACGGCCACACAACCGGGCGACAGCTGTTGCCTATCTAGGGTCTCTGACCCCTACAGACTTTGTAGAACTGCTGGACCGCACGCAGTTCTACACACGGTACTGCACAAGGTAACGCAGCCGGCTGGCTGCAAACCATCTGACAACCCCCGCAGCAGTTCCACGAGGCCGGCCTGCTGAGTACACCCACGGTAGCTAGTGCAACTGCCAGAGACATCACAGTCTATGCAGACAGTACAGATAGCACAACTAGGCTCATCTGTCTCAATTAGCTGTGGTGTAATCAGTACAGTCTACGTGTCTGACTCAGCTGATATGGTTTTGACTGCCGGCATTGTATCTACGCGTGCTCTGCTTTGTTTTCCTCTCGTTTGCCCTTGTCTCTATCGGCTCAAATGCTTCTTCTTCCTTCTTTTCTTTGCTCTCTCTGTCATTCTCTGCTCTTTTCCTGTCACAACCTTCTTCAGTGCTCTCTCCTTCATTATTTATCTTGTCTGTCTTTCTTCTGATGTTAGAAGCACAGACAGCTTTCTGATCAACTGAGAGAGGTATCCCTCTCTGCTCACTATAAAGCCTTCCAGGCACGGCAGCGGCGGTCCCCTCAGGGAACCACACTATAGCCCCACCATGAATGGCCATACGTCGGGCCAGAAGTGGATGCGCAGCTCAGAAAAATCCTTTGCAATGGGCTGAGTCTTCTCAAGAGTTGCCACCTGGATTCTGTTTTCTCTCTCTCTCTGTGTACATAGAAATCTCTCCAGCGTAGCACGTCTCCATGCCCTTCGGGAGGCTTCTGAAACACGGGCGCTGCCCGTGTTTTCTCCGGGACGTTACCTATACATACATACATACATACAGACCGCTCCCACCTAACGATCGCTCATTTACGGAGGGCGCTATCAAAAGAATTGCGCCGGCAAAAAGACAGCTAGACAGCGCCACAAATCTTGGCAGAAATTCCCACTGTATTTTATACTGAATATTCAGATCTTGATTTAATCTGCCTGCCAATCCGCCACCCCGCGTAGCAGTTGAGTATTCTATTCCTCCACCTGCCCGTGCCGCCTTCCTTCTCTATACTCATTGCCACCTTCTAACTCTATAATCTTTTGAATATGTACAGGAATCCGCTCAATCCATGCCTGTATCTTCTCCTGCGGCAGATCCTTCCATGCCTGCTCCCATACTCTAACTGCTTCTGTGTGATTCTTAGGAGCTCCCTTTTTCATCGTTCTGCGCTTCATCCAAGGCCAAGCTGCTTCAATTGCATTGAGATCCGGCGAATTACCACACCAAAGCAACTGTTGAATGCCATGAATGTTGTACATATAACATTGAATATAGTGATCATGAGATGGGGCTTTATCCTCCTGCACAATGGTATTCAGACGATCAATTTGACACTCTTTTGCAAAGGGGAAAAGCTTTTGTAAGAGGATTTGAACTTGATAGCGATACCAATCAATTCCACTACCTTTTCCGCGAGATAGCTTGCCTGTGACTTTTTTGAACTTCCATATTGGTTTTTGACCTGGCTGCTGATGATCAATCCGTAGTCTTTGTATGCCATTTGAGAGCTCCCATTCTTGCTTCTTTATAGGTTCTATCTTCATGTTTAAAGTCTCAATATACTCAAGGGATTGAGCACGCTCCTGCAAGGTTTCCCTGCTCCAACAGTGTAATGGACCCTTCTTGTCATATGAGAAGCGGGCCCAGAACAGGAATTCAGAGGATCCCTTCCATCATTCACATATACAGCTTTGAGAATACACCTCATGAGGCGCACGCCATATTCTATATCCACCTCGTCGATGAAGAAGAATAACAGAGGTTTCATCTGACCATATGACATTCTTCCAATCCTCCAAGGTTCAATCCTTATGCTCCAGGCAGAATTGAAGTCGATCTAACCACATCTTCTTAGTGAGTCCTGGCTTCCACGTAGGCTTTGTTTTTCGAAGGCCTGCTTTGCGAAGAATCCTCCATATAGTCATAGAAGATATCTCAATTCCTTCATTACTGAATTCATTGGCAAGATCAGTACAGCTCTTTTCTCGTCCATAGCGATCATGTTGAACCTTTGCAAGAATAGCATCCTTAATGCTATCATTTCCCTGAGTTGGTCGGCCGGATTTGGAGGCATCTCTAAGCCATTCATCGCGAAGTATAATATGAGGCAGTTCAGGGTTAAATCCACGTTCAATTGTGTGTTTATATATACAGTTGATTTGACTCTTTGAGATCTGGGTGATTTCCGTGATTTCAGCATTTGACTTGCCAAAATAGGGTGATTTAAGAGCCACCACAAGAGCTCTTGTGGCAATATCGGTATTGGGTGCCATATATTTTAACAGTCATGAATTGTCAGATGGGATGCCAGAGATGAGAAATTAGAGAAGAAAGAGGAATCCATTCTTAATACGTGGCAATCTCATATAAATAGAATGCGGGGTGATTTGAAGCTAAATGTAATTACTCATTAAAACGTGGTGGCGCTTCTTAGCGGTATAAATGGAATCTGAGCGGCGCAATTCTTTTGATAGCGCCCTCCGTACAATTCAACAAGATGATTAAAATCTACGATATCTCAACAACGCAATTAGATATTAAAATTATATATTAACCATTAAAAGTACATACAAAATACACTATAAAAATATAAATAGTTAATGTAGTTAATACCTGCTGGGTTTGATAATTCGCCCAGAACGTGAAACTCGCTGTCCGGCAGTGTTGGAGCCAGCAGAGGCAGCAGCAGCTGCACTTGATGCTGAATCTGCAGAATCTGCAGTAAAAATCTCAATTAGACTCTGATTTCCCGATTTGGAAGATGGGTTTTGCTTTTTTGACCGTATTGACGTTGTTAAAGCTCGCGCAGGTTGCTGCTTTGAAGAGATCTGCTCAGCTTGCTTTTTCAATTGCATTTGAAGCTGTAGAGCAGCACGTTCTTCCTTCTCTTTTTGCAGCTGAGCTTTCTTTAGATCTCACTACTTCTTTTCAATCTGGTGTTTGACTGCTGCGGCCTCTTTGGCTTTCTCACGCTGCCTGACGGCCTCCTTGCAAGCCTTTTGACGTTCATCCTTCCATTTGACAGTTTCTGCAGTCTTTTCTTCACGAAGAATTGTACATTGTAGTTGTGCCTCCTGCCGACGAGCTTGGGAATCAATTTTGAGAGCTTCTGCCGCAGCGGCTTGCTCACGGGCGGCTCTGACCTGGGTTGGAGAAAAGAATTGAGCCTGACAGGGATTTGATGAATCTAGCAATCCCATTGCCTTTCCACATTTACATCACTTTCTCTCGCGATTGAGGGCTTGCTGGAGATTTCGATTTTCTATTAGAAGAAGTTCTCTGTCAAGAGCGAATTTCTCAGAGGCATGTAGTGCCCGGCGGATGTCAAGAGAAACTCAATGTTGTTGTTGATTTATCTCCTTCATCAGATTCCTCATTCCACCAATAGATGTAGGAGTCTTGAGTCCTAGAAGCTCTGGCGGAGTCTTGGGCCGTACAATCTTTGCAAGCACGCGTTCAGGGTTGAAAGGTGAGATGCCAGCAGCAGCAAATGCAATCTCAATATTAGAAGGTATAACAGCAATTTCCCACGCCTTTTTAAATAACTGCCAAAAATCTCTTTTTGTAGTGCGAATGAGGCCCAATCCAGTCCGTATATTCTCATTTAGCTCATTTGAATAAGCTTTTGCCAAAGGTCCAAATATCGCCAGATCGAGCGGTTGTAAACGGTGGGTGGAGTGAGGAGGAAGAACTGCCAGTAGTATTCGATTTTGATCCGCATAGTTGATGAATTTCATGTTGATATGAGAAGAATGATCATCCAATATAAGTAATCGCCAGCTGCGGCCTGCTTTTGCTTTTGTAAGAGGATTGAACACTTGCTGCAGCCAAATAAGCCCATATTCATCATTACTCCACCCGTTCTCAGAGGCAGCAAAGTATGCTTTATCCTTTTCATCATCAAAATCCTCCAACCAGGCATAACTGGGTGCAACGCTTCTGTCAACGGCATAAGGATCAAATCCGGAGCGTTTATTTACGAGCGATTGATCATTCAAGAAAGACTGCAGATAACTCTGTACATTTCAATCATTATTTCACCCTTGTATTGCTATTTTTTGATTATGATTCTGTGGCTTTTAATGTGATTGATGGCTAACTTACTGTCTGTCATTCAGCTGCAGGAGAAGATTGCGAAATATAAGATTGAATGTTCAAATATCTACAACTTTGATGAAAAAGGTTTCTTATTAGGCCTTCTACAAGCTGTCAAGCGAATTTTCTCGATCGAATCCCTCAAATCCAAACGCAATAAGGGTGTATCTCAAGATGGAAGTAGAGAATTCATCTCACTACTTGCAGCCATCTGCACGGATGGAACAGCTCTACCACCTGCTCTTATATATAAAGGAGAATCACGCGATATGCAAGACACCCAACTGGTGATTTGACAATCTCTTCAACTAAATTTGCAAAGATTTGAGGTGTAACAGCAAAGCCGCGCTCTGCTAGACGATTTATATGAGATAGAAGGGTTTGTTCTTCGGAATCTGTAAGTGTTCGGCAGAAGGTTGAAATAGCTTCCGATCTTGAGGTCTGCTGGCGTTTGAACCGCCGTGCCAATGTAATGCGACTGATTCCATATTTTTTGGCAGTAGCAGTGTAATTAGGAATCAATTCTTTATTAAGTTCATCAATTGCTAACTGAATAACGCGTTCATTGACCATATTACGCGTTGATGAAGAAGATGGATATGAAGGTTGAGGATGACAAAATTAGCGATCGTTAGGTGGGAGCGATCGTTAGGTGGGTGATCACGTTATTTAACCCCACCATCGTCAAACCAAATTTGTCTTCCAGTAATGTTCGCTCACACCCAGAATTCAACCTCTCCATTTAAAGAATCATAATCGTGACCTTAAAATCAAACATGGCTGAAAACGATACATATCAGACTCCACTGGCTTCGCGGTATGCAAGTATGTGTCACTTCATTTGAGCTAACAGGAATGTCCACTTACACTTGGCCTTCGATTCATGACAGGCAACGAGATGAAAACAATTTTCTCCGCCCGAACTCGATCAACGACATGGCGGAAACTGTGGATTTGGCTGGCAGAAGCTGAGAAAGAATTGGGAATTGAAATCTCAGACGAAGCTATTGCTCAGATGAAGGCAAATGTGTTGATGACGGACAATTGCTTCAAGGTCGCAGCAGAGGAAGAAAAACGGCGTAGGCATGATGTTATGGCCCATGTATACGTGTGTACAATTCCTGTAGCATCTTCTCGAGAGCTCATTTTCTGTACAACGTCTATGCCTCCATTACAGATATTTCAGGCCCCACGATACTAATACGAGGATGTATCTTAGGCATTTGGTCAAGTCGCCCCAGCCGCTCAAGGAATCATTCATCTTGGTGCTACCTCTTGTTACTGCACAGACAACAGTGATCTGATCAGCATTCGTGATGCTCTTGATCTTGTCCGTCCCAAACTTGCGACTGTGATCCACAAGTTGTCTCAATTCGCCATAGAATACAAGGATATGCCCACCCTTGGCTACACTCATTACCAACCTGCTCAACTCATCACTGTCGGACGCCGTGCTGCTCAATGGGTGCAAGATCTCCTCATGGATCTTGAAGATATTGAACGCGCACGCAACGATCTCCGTTTCCGGGGAGCTCAGGGAACTACTGGAACCCAAGCCAGTTTTATGGAACTTTTCAACAATAACAGGGCAAAAATCGACAAACTCAACGAAATTATTTGCACCAAGGCTGGATTCCCCTCCTGCTACCCGATTTCGACTCAAACCTATTCCCGCAAGGTTGATTTGCGCGTGGCCAATGCGCTCTCTGCATTGGGCACTACGGTTCAGAGAATCACAGGCGATATCAGACATCTTGCAGCGCAGAAAGAAATGGAAGAACCGTTTGAGAAAGATCAAATTGGATCGTCTGCCATGGCGTATAAACGGAATCCTATGCGCAGCGAACGTATTGCCAGTCTGGGACGGCACTTAGCTAACTTGAATAAAAACGCTGCAGATACATTTGCGCAGCAGTGGTTCGAGCGCACCCTTGATGACAGCGCGATTCGTCGTATCACCATCCCAGAGATGTTCCTAAGCGCGGACGCGATCCTCATAACAATGGACAATGTGGTGTCAGGGCTTGTTGTTTATCCAGCAAGAATACGTAGCAGGCTGATGGAAGGCGGGTAACGTAATAACTCTTAAATAAAGGGAAATTTTCTAACGAGTGTGCAGAACTCCCTTTTATGGCAACCGAAAATATCATGATGAAGATGGTGTCTCTAGGAAAATCACGACAGGACGCCCATGAGGAAATCAGGGTTTTGTCTCATCAGGCAAGCGATGTAGTCAAGAACCAGGGTGGGAAAAATGACTTGATTGAAAGGATGAAGAAATCGGAATTCCTGGCCCCAGTAGCCGGGGATCTCGATCAGTTGCTGGATCCAATGAACTTCATTGGAAGATGCCCCGAGCAAGTCGAAAAATTCTGTGGATCATATGGAGAAGTGCAACAGGCACTGAAGCCTTATAAGGATTTCATTCACTTAAGTAAAGTATCTGAGCTTTCTGTTTAATGTTGTAAGATTCCGTAGACTCTTGCGTTTTAGTCACTGTATTTTAAAATGTTCTGCTATAAAAGTTGGTATATATTGATGATGAAAGATGATAAAGTGTTAACTGGTGTAAAAAAGTTTAAACTGCGTATTAGAAGCTGATTGTAAGTGGCGGGTCAAAGATTTCACTGATTATATCCCAAAAGGTTCTTAAAAAACTCTGAGAATCAAACTGTAGAAAATAAATATGATAACATATCAGAAAGAATTCAAATTAAATGATTAGATATTGAAATTATTGAATATAGAGGTTTTATTATATAAGAATGATTCACTGATTTCTAGAAGGTTGATTCAGCTGCTAATTACATATATAATGTTAATCTCTCTTCTCTCTCTTTATTATAGAAAAACCAACTTTTTGTGGAATGTCTAAGTGGTTGTATTTAGCATGTTGGCAGCTAAGGAATATATGTGCGGTGCACTAACTAGTTTGTGATAGACAGTCTAGAGCCAACACTTTTCTGTGCAAAATGTTGAGAGGTTTGAATTGGTCATCCCCTCTACTACCAGCATCATGTGGTGTGAGAGATCTTTGTTGGCTCTAGACTGCCTATCACGGACTAGCGCACTGCACATATATGCCTCAGCTGTTGACATGCTAATACAACCACTTAGACATCCCACAATCTTCTCATTGTGCGATCGCTAGCTAACTATATATAGGGGTAATCACGTGCGGTGGAGGGCCGCCTGGGCAACTAGTGCCCAACACCCCCCCACGCGCCAACGTGCGTGATGTGTTCCTACGAATCTTCCATGCTGGCTATCTCAACTTGGATCATCCCAAAATCATGCTACATACAGAAATTTAATCATTCTCACTGTTATCAGTGAAAAGTTTTAGTAAATCAATGAAATGTTTAAATGCCACTGTGCTCAAAGGTTTGATTAATCCATTTGCTATCATATTGTAATGCACTCGTTTATTATTTCCTTATTATTATAAAATACATTGTAGCACACGAGCTGCAGTGTGCTAAATTATTGCGGAGCTAGTCTCAATTAGAAAGGCAGTTGTAAATAATGCTCATAAACATCACCTCCAACCTCACCTCTACAATATGAAGCTTTACATGTTGTGGAAGAATGGCATTATTAGCTCATGTTGCAGAATTTGTAATTGTTACAACTGTAATTGCAGCTGCAGATCTGGTTCAGAGTTTTGTGTCTGTTCAAATTTCTGATGAAGCTGTTTCACTTTTTCATTGTGAGTAAGAAAATCAGATATCATTGCACATTCAGAGAAATTATCTATATCATCAAAGTTGATCTCTTTATTCAGCTGAGCATTTTCAATATCTTCAATCATTAACTGATTTGTAAAATCTTCATTGACTGATAATGCCTCTAGAGCTTTTTGATTAATATCAATGTTGAAATAATCAGAATGATTAACTCAAAGAAAAGCTAGTCATTATTTAACAACAGTCTTTCAAACAATGAAATTACAATAAAATTGATGGAAAAGGTAGAAATCAGTAAATATATTTAAGAGCTGCAAAATAATGATATCAAAATCTTTAAACAGCAGCAGAAGACTATTGTAAATGCAGTCAATGTTTTGAAAAAAATTGACAATATGATTTTTATACTTGTATTGTTGATTATAAATCTGATAAATTTTCACAAATATATAAACCTGAGTAATAAGCATTTCCTCAACCTGGTTTATATAAGAAAGGTTGAGAATTTGATCAGAGTTCAGATTGTTATCTACAGAAAAGAAAAACAATTCATTTATTTATCAATTTTTATCAATTGTAATACAGTGCACACAAATGTTGTTTTTCAATTTCATATTAAATCATTAACATTGACAGTGACTGCAGATTTTCATAACCTTATTTTTGAAAGCTTTATGAAAGTTTTGAATATATTGTCAGTCAGTTGATGTCAATGCTAAGTTTTTGAGAAGAGTAAAGCTGTTAAACACTAAAAAAAGATCTGAATTCACAAGATTCTTCATAGTAAATGAAGTGGGGAATTTCAAATACAAACATAAATGAAGATCAGTATCAATTGATAAATCACTCATTAAACTCTTTAAATAACTAAGAGATGCATGTCATTGAAAACTGAGTGAAATGAATGAAAAATTGAAAGAATTGATTAAATGATAAAACTGAATCTGTAATAACATTTGAAAGATGAATTCATCACTGAGTAGTAGAGATGAAATTGCAGTGAATGAGAAACATTCAATTGTTTCATTAATATTCTGTAACTGTTTTTGAACTCTGTGTAAGAATGATAATATGAATGTAACAGATGAAACCTTGTCATGATATTAAATTATCTGATGACTTCAATGAATTACATTTTGCTTTTTATAAACTGTTGCAAGTGAAGGAGGGTCTGATGTGTATACTTCATAATAATGAAAATCAGATGATTTCAGTGATTGAAAGAGAGTTTATTGACAATTTAAAGAAGATCTGATTGACTGCAAATATTAAAGTGAAACTATTGAGTATTATTATAAAGATGATGAAAGATGAAACTTCAGTTCTCTACTTACAGAATCACTTTCTTATAAAGAAAAAAATTCAACAAAATCACTATCATTTGAAATTTCAGATGATTTCAGAGTTAGAAATATTAAAATTACTGATATTTGTGACTGTTCTGTGAGTGTTTCAGAGACAGCGTGAGAAGATTCTGAAAGAAGTGAAGCAGCACTGTTTAAATGTTTTAAAGTTCTAAAATCAGTAATATAACCACAGCAAAAGCTGCAGATTGCAACTGTAGTGATTGAAAAGTATCTAAATATAAATTTCTTCAGATATTGATATGCTGAAAAGAGTTGAAATATAAAACTGTAAGAAAGAGCTTTCTTGATATGATATAGAAATTTCAATACTATAATAAAGTTATTAATATGATATATTGAAAAAACTGTATGAATTCAGAGCAGCATTTATAAAACAAAGATATTTACATTTAATCATTTAATTATATGAACTGAGGGACAAGACAATCTATGCAGACAATACAAATAGCATAATTAGATTTATCTGTTTCATTTAACTGTGATGTAATCAATACAGTTTATGTGTCTGACTCAGCTGATATATTTTTGACTTCTAACATTGTATTTACATACACTTTGCTTTGTTTTTCTTTTATTTGCTCTTGTTTTTATCAGCTCAAATGCTTTTTCTTTCTTCTTTTCTTTACTCTCTCTGTCATTCTCTACTTCTTTTCTTTCACAATCTTCTTCAGTGCTCTCTCCTCTCTTTCTCTGGGTCTGTGCCATATCATATGACTACAAGATATTACAGATAACACAGTCTTTCCTTCATCTCTTTTTTTTATTCTTTTCATTTCAAAACACACATTTTCTATCTTTTTCTTTCATTTATTTTATTTGTCATTGTTCTGATGTTAGAAGCACAGACAGCTTTCTGATCAACTGAGAGAGGTATTCCTCTCTACTCACTATAAAGCCTTTTATATACAGCGGCGGCGGTCTTTTCAGAGAACCACATTATAGCCCCACTATGAATAGCCATACATCAGATCAAAAATGAATGTGCAGCTTGAAAAAATCATTTGCAATGAGCTGAATCTTTTTAAGAATTGCTATCTGAATTCTGTTTTCTCTCTTTCTCTGTGTACATAAAAATCTCTTCAATGTAGCATGTTTTCATACTCTTCAAAAAGCTTCTGAAACATAAATGCTGTCTGTATTTTCTTCAGAATGTTAAATCTATACATACATACATACATATGAACTGAGGAAAGCTGTATATAGATTTCAATGTAAGATGAAAGAAATTTTTATAAATCATTCACAAATTCTTCTTTAAGAGCTGTAAATTATGATTAGATTTATTATAATCTTTTAAAATATAGCAAGCAGGAATAAAAAAGCTCAGATTGCTATTTATACAAATACAGTAAAAAAAGCCTTGAAATAGAATAGAATGAATGAAGCTGTAATTGCTTGTTTATTTTGCTCAAGCCTTTCTATACCGGCCGTTGCAGCAACGCGGGCGGTCACATGGCATCACGTGAGCGTAACTTCTCATTGACCAATCAGAGCGCAGGGATTCAGCCAATCAGAGCGCGAGAATGCTTTCCTAATCCGGATGACCGAAAGAGGAAATTTTCTGGCATGAAAAGCCTATATAGTGCTTCACGCACTACGCTCGCTCCGCAAATTATCTTTGTTTATATCTTTGTTTATTCTTACCTCTTTCCATTATACTCTCGCTGCTGTTTTTATATGTATATATATATGAATGTATGTATTTCGCACATCTTCTTTCTCTTTCTTTTCCTCCTTAGTGATTAGCTACAATTACAACAACACTACTACTATAATTATTATTACTATTATCTTTCATTACATTATATACTATCTTCTATTATTCACTTTTCACACTGTCATCACCTCTCACAGTTTCTAATCACTCAGTCTTTAAGAAATAATTTGTTGAATAATAATCATAACCTTTACCCACAACATCTGCTGTACTCATACTACCACTGAATCAGAAGCAACAAATATCAGTGAAGAGAATTACAAAATATACATCTCTATCACTATGTATGTATGTATGTATGTATAGGTTTAACGTCCCGGAGAAAACACGGGCAGCGCCCGTGTTTCAGAAGCCTCCCGAAGGGCATGGAGACGTGCTACGCTGGAGAGATTTCTATGTACACAGAGAGAGAGAGAAAACAGAATCCAGGTGGCAACTCTTGAGAAGACTCAGCCCATTGCAAAGGATTTTTCTGAGCTGCGCATCCACTTCTGGCCCGACGTATGGCCATTCATGGTGGGGCTATAGTGTGGTTCCCTGAGGGGACCGCCGCTGCCGTGCCTGGAAGGCTTTATAGTGAGCAGAGAGGGATACCTCTCTCAGTTGATCAGAAAGCTGTCTGTGCTTCTAACATCAGAAGAAAGACAGACAAGATAAATAATGAAGGAGAGAGCACTGAAGAAGGTTGTGACAGGAAAAGAGCAGAGAATGACAGAGAGAGCAAAGAAAAGAAGGAAGAAGAAGCATTTGAGCCGATAGAGACAAGGGCAAACGAGAGGAAAACAAAGCAGAGCACGCGTAGATACAATGCCGGCAGTCAAAACCATATCAGCTGAGTCAGACACGTAGACTGTACTGATTACACCACAGCTAATTGAGACAGATGAGCCTAGTTGTGCTATCTGTACTGTCTGCATAGACTGTGATGTCTCTGGCAGTTGCACTAGCTACCGTGGGTGTACTCAGCAGGCCGGCCTCGTGGAACTGCTGCGGGGGTTGTCAGATGGTTTGCAGCCAGCCGGCTGCGTTACCTTGTGCAGTACCGTGTGTAGAACTGCGTGCGGTCCAGCAGTTCTACAAAGTCTGTAGGGGTCAGAGACCCTAGATAGGCAACAGCTGTCGCCCGGTTGTGTGGCCGTGCTGCTGGCCTCTTGGGCCAGTGAAGAAAGTGCCTCTGTGAGTGTCGACAGAGCACCAAATGTTCTGGGCTCTTGTTGTGTCCACAGACACAGGTGAGCCTCGCATCTGCATGCTGGAAACGCCTGTGGTACCAGGAGAAGTCCCCATGAGAGGAGCGGAGTGCGAGCCAGCGGTGAAGGGCATGCCGTGGCATGGTGAGCTCCGGAGGGGCCTTCACTTGGTATTCCACAGTCGGCCTGCTGAAACTCCAGCCCCGGTACCAGTCAGAGAGCTTGCCACAGGCTCCACTCCACCACTTTTGCCTTGCCTCTTGGCTGAGCTGCTTGGCCACTGTGCGGACCCCACTGACTGTGGGTGTGGCCTCGAGACCATAGGCTGGGGCTGCAGTGGATGAGACTGCCCGCTTAGCCAAGCGGTCTGCTTCCTCATTGCCCTCTATCCCCATATGCCCAGGAGCCCACTTCAGGCCGACATTGTGCTGTCTGAGGAGCTCATGGCAGCGGTTGTAGGCCCAGTTTGAGGAGGCTGCTGCACTGCCCCGTATGCCCCAGATGACTGAGGTGTTGTCGAGGCAGTTAATAATAAACGAGTGCATTACAACAACACATTTATATACAAAATGATTATTTACACAAATGATTTTTTATATTTTTAGTTATATATATATAACATTTTGTTCTTTATCTTTTCTTTTATACACTTCTTTTTTATATTATTCAAGATAGATTGTTAAATATTGTATGAATTGATCTTGCAGTTTTCTACTGAATGATTAAGCTGCCCTGTTCTCACACTGTCAAAAGCATGCAAATTTCAATTTCCATTTCACTACTACTACTACTACTACTACTACTACTACTACTACTACTACTACTACTACTATTATTATTATTATTATTAATATACATTGTCTACTATCTTCTGCTATTCATTCTTCACACTGTTATTAACCCTCACATTTTTTCGGTATTGTTTTTTAAAAATTTTCTTAATTTAATATTTCGTTTCAGATTTGCAGGATTTTTCTATAGAAACACAAATCTCACAATGTTTTCAAATATTGAAATTTAATACACATCAAAAATCAATGTCTCTCAATCTGAAGACACAACATTCACAGAGAAACTGATTATTGACTAGGAAGATACAAATATACTTCACTATCAATTCCTGCAGTTCGTTTCGCTGAACCAGCCTAAAGAAATACTAACCCCTCAAACACTCGTGCGCTCAACCTAAAAATTTAAAATAAATACAAATAAAGCCAAAAGAGTGAACCAAAGTAGGAAAGAGTACACTGATTAAATGGCATCGCAAATTGCTAAAAATTTGTTCAGAGGGTCATCATGTCCCTCCGCCGCCAGGTCCTGCTCCAGCTCCAGCTCCAGCTCCAGCTCCAGCGTCAGATCCCAACGGGCCCCCCCCGGAAATCCCATCCAACAATCCAAGCCCAGATCCAGTGACGGTCTTTCGACTTCCCGCCCCGTAGACCATTTCCATTAACTTCGCCTTCTGTCTCTCCCTCACCGACTTTAAATACTCATAAGCACCTTCAAGACCTTTGATCTGGCCTTCAACCAATAACTCTACCGAACCCTGCGCACCACTCCCAATCCCTCTCCCGACGCACTCCCAATCACCTCCACTACTACATCGACTACTAGCCCCTAATAGCTCAAAACTAGCCGAACCATTTCTTCTGACCAGCTGACTAACCAACTTCCTCCTCAATGTCTCCAGGTTCACTTTGAGGGTCAACAGCTTCCCGCGATGGTCCATTAGCAGATGTTTATTGGCAACCGTCCGCTGCCGCACAGATGACAGTAACTGGCGGTTCTTTTCATACTTTCGCAGCGCGGCAGCGTTGGGGCCAAGCACGCGCGTCCACAGTGATGAGAGCATCTCGCCCTCTGCACGTTCCTGCGCATCTGACTCGCGTACAACTGTGCGCTGCAGGTTCAAGAACTGGCGGTCTATGGACTCGAAGAGAGCGAAGAGGGCAGCAGAATGAGTCAGTTCGCTGTTTATCGACTCCTCAAGAACGGCGAGGAATTCGGTGAAGGTATGGGTGAGGGTGCGGTGGGTGCGTTGAGAACGTGTAGTACCGAACATAGTAGTAATGAGAGAGCCTAGGCGGCTAGGGGAAGGAAGGGGAGATTTACTGCCGTCTGGTAATGTTGTTGTGGCAGTTTCAAGAGCGCCGAGGCGCCAGAGGATGGAGTGAAAGTTGTCAAAGAAGATGGAAGGGAGGGAGTTGGCGGGCTGTGATGAGAGGGCCGCCAGCTCACGCTTCGCCCAGTCCATGACGATTAGTATGGAGTCGATGTCAGCGTCGATATTGGCGAAGAAGCGGGTGAGTTCTAGAGAGAGGGTCTTGAGAGATTCGGAGAGCTCGTCGAGCTGGCGTACGATTATCGGGGCGCTTGTCATATTTGTAGCACGCACAGATTCACCCAAATCCCAGACAGCGACTCCAGTTTCTTGCAAAGCGCCGATTTGCTGTACCCCATTTTCAGAGTAGTATATTAGTGGCTCGAAAGATCGTGCGAGGCCGGAAAGTTTGACGAGATCGGGAACAGGGAGGGGGATAGGGGGAAGCATAAATGCACGAATGATCAAGAAGGATATAATGCCTATGAGAAATGATAACACGGTGTTTGTGCGGCTTTTAGTCATAGAGTTAATTCTTTGGCTGACATAGCAGAAAATTGCAGCAAAAGGTTCCCGATGTTGAACTTCCGCGCGCACCGCGAAACGGATATCTACGAAATGTTAGCTCCCGAACGAGAGAAAGGACATGCCGGAGCTTATGGGAACGAAAAAATAGTTTAAAATGGATGGGGAAAAATTGAAAATATACTACAATTTGTAAAATAATCCGGCGCAAGCTCCTCCGGCAACAGTTCAAGTGTGTCCTTTATATTATTAGTATTGGTTTCTTCCTCCACCCTGGTTTTTTCTTCGAGCTTTATTGACGGTGCGGGACTAGGCGACCTGCCCTTCTGCGGTGAATCAGCACCCATGGGCAATGGTATATTTGCGGGTATTGTCAGGTCGGCGGGGTCATCTCCTCCAGAGCCGATGGGTTTCTCCAGGGCATCCTCATATTGGGGGCTAACTTCTCTCGACCGCAATGGGCTGAAATCATATGGCGGTCCAAAATATGGCTTGTCGCGCAGATATGGTTGATGTCGGTACCAAGCACTGCCCGTTGTTGGTGGAAAGTGTTGCTGTTGCAAAATATACCTCCGTTGTTGGTATCCTGGCGGAGACCATGGGTCACCAGCACTAGAGTCAATATCTGTTTCCGGATCATGATCATTTATGGTTTCGGACTGGAACCCGGAGTGCTGAGAGGGGAGGTCGAGGAGGGGCGAAGGGCGTGAGGAGTCCTCGAAGTCCTCGAGGGAGGCGGTTAATGAAGGGTGATCATCGAAAACATCCAGTTCCTCAAGACGGGTGGGCGTCATGATGGATATTACGGCCCTTGTTCAAGAAGTCGGAAAGGTACAGGTTCAAGCGCCACAGATTTTCCCGATAATGAAGACTGGAAATGTTGTATGTAGAGCGCTTGAGTGCGTTCGCAGATATTTGGCTCCAAATGTGTGGGCCGGTTATTGAACATTATGCAGCCAGAAAAAGTCGAAAGATGATATTGGGAGATTTGAACGACGAGTAAACGCACATAAACAGGTCGTATTCGGCAGTCAGGACACAGGGCACGAAATAAAGACTCTCATACAGGAGAAGTAGTCGTTCAATCACGATACCAACTGAGGGCCCATCAGTGGTCCCGCGGTCACGTCACGGTCCTGACGACACGGCGAAATCAGCGCGCTATCGGTGAGCAGGTAGGCGGCAGTGGTAATTTCGCGTGGATATTGCTGGGGCGAAGAGATACGACGAGGCAACCAGCGTGATTCTTCGCCAGATGTTCATCCAAACACTCAGTTTGCGTGCAGGACTCGTTGGTTGAAGTGTTCTCCCTCTGGTAATAGCGGGGAACATGGGATGGCACTAGTAGAGGACAAGCGTCATCTCAACGGCACAACATCGTTTATCATTGGGCAACACCGTCGCAGCAGGTTCAGCCAGCGATGTTAGTGACTGGTAGCAGGTAGGAAGTTGGTGGCTAGGAGTGCGTGGTCAAAGTTCCGTCCAGCCACCCCGATGCTACAGTCCAGCGGCTTCGTTTATGCTACGGAGTATTCTGTACAGCACCTGAGACATAGGTACACGCACACCATTTGTCGTTTTTGTGCTGGGGTGCTCGAGGAAGTGAAGTGCGCGATCAGATATGAGCGCTTTGTCGCGAACCCACATCCTGCCTCCTCCGCTGAGGAGTAGGAAACTTGGAAGCCACACACGCCCTGCCTTACCAACCACTCCAGGTGACCAAGGCATGTCGATGGTTTGGTGTATTTCCAAGTTTTGGTGCTGTCTCGCGGTATACAGAGTAAAAATGTAAAGAAGATACTTCTGCTCCCTGCAGCCGCATCCCCAGGTTTAGCATTCAGCATGTCTAACTTGACAAGTCAAGATTTAACCTTTAGAAGCTACGTTAGCCATCGTTGATACCGAACAGGCGAGCGAATTCGATTATCCCCTTCCGGAACGTTATTCAGATCAGAATATCAATCAAAAATCATGACCAAAACTGCTTTCAAAAAAGAAAGTGTTCTTTTAGATACCAAAGGGGATTAAATTTTAAGTTTATCTATCATTAGTTAGCTAGTTAACGATAACTAACTAGTTAACTAACTAGTTAACTAGTTATAACTAACTAATCTTTATATAATCTTAAACCTTTCCTACCCAACTCTTTACCATCAACTTTAAAAATACTGAATAGGATTGTCATGCTGCGAGGGCCGGAAGGCCTAGGTATCTCAAGGAATACCTAACTTTATATACCGTATTAATATGCTCCGATAACAGCAGTGGCTGTTATTGTGTGTTAACCTTTTTGATCGGGTAGTTAAACCGGGCACCTCGCGTGATCCAGTTACAGATCCATATTTAAATCATAATTACAGCGATAGATCGACACTTACATCAGACTCTCAGACTTCTCCTTTCATAAAATGAAATGGTCAGATCTATTATAAGGTCGTATATACTTGTACAACAGTTATTTTGTAATATAATGAGTATTAGCTGGAATATACCTCTAGCACTATCTATACCATAAAAATGAATTGATTGAGAAGGGGGGAAAAAAATGAGAGGCATATCAGCAGAGTTAGACAAGGGCAGTCAAACTAGCTGCCTCGCGAGAAATTATGTTCTTGTGTTAACTTGGGTGTATTTTTATGTAAGAAATATCTATCTATAAATGTAAATATATAGCATCAAACATCGTCTTTTTTGGAAGGGATGAGAATATTCAAAAGTTTAAAAGAGATAGAGAAAAGCAAAAAGCAAGAACGAAAGAAAATGACCTCATAAATATGCGTTCAATATCTCAAAAGTCATATTCCTCATCATGTTCCCCTTCGTCATATTCCACATCCACTCCTTCTTCATCGGTACTACTATTTTCTTTGTCGCGTCGTGAAGTCGGATGGTCGCCTTGGGAACTATTTTCCAGGATCCCTGGCTGCTTTCTGCGTTCAAAATCTTGCGCATGCGCCGTTGCAAGCATGGTCCCTACGCGAGACAGTGTCCGTGGGATTTCCAGTGAACTTGGCATCCTGCGTTGTGGACTTGGGCCCGGTTGATTCTGCTCATCGCCATCTGTCGCGGCTTGGGAACTGCTCAGAAAACTCAGTTGCGGTGTGAGGAAATTTTGCTCTTCCAATCGCCCAACTGAGATCCTGGCTTGGGATGGGATTTCGTAGGGAAGCGGGACATCGCGTGAAGCCCGGAACCGTGAGACGTTCGTACAGTGCTCGTTCTCGACGCGGAAAATCGACCACATTCCCCTTCGGCATACTTCGGAGAACGCGAGGAAGAAACTCAGGATGGCCGAGTGCTGATAACCATGGGGGGAAATGGCGTATAATATCCAGTTGAAACGGAGAATTGGATCAATGGCCATCGCTAAGTAATACACCCAGTGACTGTGGAAGGCTAGAGAATCCCGAAGGAAGCGGTTCTTGGAATAGGGGTTACATAGACTCCAGTCCATGGCAAGATCCCAAATGGAGGCATAGACCGAGTTAATAGAAGCACAGGTTATGAAGATGGCCCGAGGCTGGTCCACTCTCTGAATTCGGTATAGGCTAAGGGTCATGTAGTAGAGGATTGAAAAAGAGTATTTTCCTAGATTTGCAATGTGGGGGAAAACATTTCTAGTATCGAAATATCGTCGGAGACATTGGAAGGAGCGCCAGATAGATGGAACTGTCGAGAGGAAGCCCATCACTCGTGAGTGTGAGGAATTGCACCTTGGCGCGTTATCCCATCCCTTGCTATACAGACAGAAGAATAATGCAATATTCTTCGATGCTGTTAGCTTCTTGCCTCGACGTTCTTTTATTGAGGAATTACTTACACTCATAGCATATACTTGGGAGCAGTACATATCACCCAGGAAAAAGTCTCGAAACTCGACAGGATAGAAACCCGCCAGTAAAAGGCGCCACTGCGCAACATTAGAATAATTACAGTTGGAATAGGCGAAAGGGGCGAGATGAGCATCAGTGTTGCTTACATTTGAATATGCCCACCATCTTCTACTTCGATGATAGAATAAAGGTATGGGAATAAACAAAATGAGCAGGGTGATGCCTATCAGAAGAATAGGCCAGTAAATGTATAAGCTATTCACCAAGCGGAAGTTTAAAAATAGAATTATCCCAAGTAATAGGACAAAAAGACAGGGTACCTGCACTGTCGGTTAGCCAGTGAATGGATAAAAATATTTTATGTATTGATAGGTTACCTCCAACAGTTCACGCCAATCCAGTACATGACGAGTATCAAATTCAAAAACGAAGGCATAATTGATTTTGCTGGCACCCCAAATTTTACAATCCATACAAAAAAGAAGAAAATGGAAGAGAGCGAGGAAATAACCGCCGTAGATCTGAATTTAGAAAATTAGCAAACCATAAACGGTAATAGCAGCAACAACTCAACAAACCTGGAGTAAGTAAGCGGTGTAAAGGCGGACTTGAGGATCCCCATGGAACAACAGGTGCACTGCATATGTCAAACCCTGAACGCCAAGAATGACGCCTCCTGAGAACATCAAGCCATTGCGAAAGGCATTTGAAGAATAATCGTAGGTTCTTGAGGTCTTGCTACGAAGTTTCCGAATGGCAACCTTACGATTGCCTCTCTCAAAATAGCGCGCGTAAAGGTCCTCGACGGACACCATGTGATTTTCAACAACCTCGCTTTGGACAAACCATGCCTTGTTGACCTTCTCTGAAACGTAGTGACCAGCAGGGCGTGCGGCGGTAACCTTGTCGTACTTTTTATTCATTTTGCGAAACGCTTTTCGGTTTAGGTCAGCATAGGCCTTGAGGAGCTCCAGACCACGATAAAATTCTATCAAGGCAACTTTCAGTTTCCTTTTGGCAGAGCGATATGAAACGTCATTTAGATCTTCTCGGCGGACGAAGTCTCGTTGCTCATAAGGGTAGGAACACATAGGCAGCGGGCCCGAGGGAGTTGCAAGTTGCTCCATGGCTTCTGAAGTTTTTCTAGACCTTGCTCTACCCAGCTTATTTCCTAGAGGAACCCCCCATTTCCGCGCGGAAACACCAACATCCGACTCGGAAACCACATTGAGCCGGGTATTAGCCTCTGCATTCCGCTTATTGGCCATTAGCTCGCCAACTCTAGTATCTCTCATAAGATGAAGCTGGGCTCGTAACACTCCCAGCCGCTCAGTGGCCTCTTTCTCTTTGAAATGATAAAATGATTCAATTTTTGCTAACTCCTTCTCCATGAAAGTAAAAAATTCCGATTCTCTATGCCTAAGCGCCATATATGCATCAACAGGCCCACGAATTGTTGAATGGTCACCATGTGTCCTTGAAGTAAACAGCTTCTTCAACAGAGCTTTTGGGCTACTGAGTACTCGACTCGGAACTGAATGGCGACTTGGCTGGACTATATCGATCGTTCCCCGGGGATAGCTGGAGGTAGAATTTTGGCTATGAGGATTTATCAATTCCATTGTTCCGTTACCAGCTTCCCCAGCAGTGTTTAAGGCTTGGGCTCCATCCACGTCGCCACACGGTATCCTCCGGGTTAGAGTTCCAGGACGGAAATGAGGGTCTTCCATGTCCAAGGCAGGGTCTGGAAGTTCCAGAGAGGGAAGGATTGAAGCTGGTACACGCTGTGGGGCGGGGGCTATAATGTTTCCGTCATCGTCAGTCGGCTCATTACACCGGGGCCCTAGAGGGCTCAGTGGCTGTCGTCCCTGGATGCCAACATCGAGAGTAGCCCCAAATTTTCCACGAGATAAGTCTTGTAGGGCAGAATCGGGCCGTTGGAAGGGAGTAAAAGATTTCGGTCCTCGGGCAGCAGACCCTTGACGAAAGCCGGAACGTGGCGGAAGAAAATCGACAGTGGGACGGTCCTCATGGCGGAAGATATGGCTGAGACGTCTACGATGGGCAGAAGGAGATTGCTGCTCAGCATGGCGAAGTGCTCTCGATATTGCCTTCACCTTCTTTTTGCCAGCCTAGAAGGCAATGCCTGCGTTAGGAATGGTGTTGGAAACAGTGATACAAGGAGGTCGCACTCAGGATATTTGACCCTGATAAAAACCCATGCGCACCTTATAATTCAAGTACTTAGCCCTCCACTCAGGTACCAAATCCTCTTCGAGCTCCCTTTGATAAACAATCAGTTCATTGTAACTGAAACCAGAAAGAACAACGGTCCTGAATACCCATGACGTACTTGGCGAACTTCATTTTTAAGTTCCGGTAAAGATACAACAATTCAGCCACAACAAAAGCATTCTCAATGGGGATTATCAATGGGAATTGTCAGTGGGGAGCGAGGAAAACAGAGCGACAGGCCAGGAAAGATGCCTTGGAAGGGTGCGTGCAGCGCATGCGGAGGGTGGAAAGTCGCATGATGCCAGACCAAGCGCAATGACAACTTGAGATCATCTAGGTCCAACCAACCGCAGGATTGTTCAATTTTCCACTTCCACCCAGGGACGAACATCCCGTGGGCCATGAACCCAATCCAAGGCATCCCACAAATTCCATGGTCGCACAATTCATGGTTTCCACGTGTGAGGTCAGCTGACCAGCCAGCCTGTAGGAGGATAATGCTGGTTGTGTGATTGTTAACTATCTAACCGAGAGCAACACAATATGTTAGATGGCACGTGTGAAGGTATCGAACTAAGTTGCATTCTAAGAGCTAGCTAGCTAGGATGGGGAGAATGAGAATATAAAAGAGGAAAAAGTGGGCGTTCCGAGGACTACGCAGGCATGATGGGAACTACACGCAAACATGTATTAAGAATGTGTAATGTGTAACATCTGCTGCTGTTTTGAAAAAGATATTGTCCTCAATATCTAAATACATGAATAAGGGATACAGATTTGTGGTAAAAATAGATAATTTGATGCAAACAATTTGATGTAAAGCAAAACAATCTAGTAAAATTCGCGACGCAATCTATGTTTCATATTATTGTATTGTCATACCATTTGGAGGCAGTCCTATAGAAGAACATTTCATTCTTCCCATGTCTCTTCACTGTGAGTCCATCATACTTTTAATTGATGAGTATGATCTTGTATTCAGTTCTCAATGATCTGCTCTACTTTCCAGTACTGATAGCCGTTGAGAATGTGGTCTGACTCAGTGGAGAGCGGTCAGCCAAAGGTGTCTGGTATGAAGAGCTCAAGATGTATTAATGATATAATGGGATGGATATCCCTAAATCTAGAGGGCAGGTCCAGGTGATATGCTATAATGCTGAGTTTCTCAAAAATGTAAAATGAATTGATGCAGATTGAGTGTAATATGGATTGCTCTAAGAGTGTGTAGTTATGATATTCTTTATAAACAATTTGTAAATAAATTTGTCTAGATAATTGTATTGATTGATGATTGATATCAAAATAATTAAACATCTTTGTTTAAATCATAGCAAGTGTGTCCTTGACTTGCTGTTGTATTTGTAGACAGGTATTTATAAAATCATTAGTGGAAAATAAGTGTGTTGAATTCTGAGTAGAAAAAGTATATGTAGAATTAACATTGTAAAGAACAATAAAGATGATATGATCTGTTGCTTGAAAAGTGACTGTATTGAGATTGAATTTTATCTTTAATAAAAGATTATTTCAAGAGATCATGACCCGTTTGATAAATAATGATCATAAAACTGTTTCAACGGTTCGATTGATGCATTCAGCTTGATTGTTTGTGTTGAGATGATAGACTGCAGTAAGAGAAAGATTAATCTTAATTTTTTAAAACAACTCCTTTCAAAAGGCATTTAAAAAACAATGATTAGAGTTGATTATTATCTGTCTGAGAAGACTTCAGAATCACACAATCATATTAAAAAATTGAATGATATATTGTTTTATAAAATCTTATTTGCATTTTGAGATTAAATAAATGTATTTGAAAAACTTGTTTATGACAGTTAACAGCATGTTATATTCGTCCGATTCTGGTAGATCTGGGATGAAATTCATTGATAGAGATGTAAATAATTAATGAAAAAATTGTATCATATGGAGTTCTCTGAAGGATTGATAATGTTGAAAAACAGTGATTTGACAGACTGAGCATTGATTTGTGTATTGTGCTATTATTTCTCTGAAATTTGATGTGAATATTTGTTGCAAAAATACTGATATATTTGTTCTGATTCATTGTGGTTTTTATGATTATAAACTTGTAATAGAATTCTTGTTT